TGATCTGATCAGGAATAAAACAAGGGTTCCCACACCCCACTCTCAACTTTCCTATTCCACATAGTACTGGAAGTCCAATCCAAAGCAATTAGGCAAAGGAAAAAAAAAAAAAGACACCATTAAATGGAATCCAAATCTGAAAAGAAGTAAAACTCTCTCTGTCTACAAATAATATGATCTTATATTTAGAAGACACTAAAGATTTCACCAAAAAACCATTACAACAAATAAATTTAATAAAGTTGAAGGATATAAAATTAACATGCAAAAATCAGTTACATTTCTAGACACCAACAGCAAATTATATTAAAAAGAAAACTCTCACTTACAGTAACATCAAATCAAAAACTAAAATTAATTTAAAAATATATACATAAACAATCTAATTGAAAAGTAAAATATTTCTGCCCAGCAAAAGAAACAAACAGCAAAATAAAAAGACAACACTAAATGGGAGAAAATATTTGAAAACCATTGATCTGATAAGGCATTAATAATCAAAATATATAAGGAACCCATACAATTCAATAGCAAAAAATAAAAATAGAACTATTGTATAACCCAGTAATTTTACTTCAGGATATTTAGCCAAAGAAAGCAAAAAGAATAGATAAAGATGTAGTACACATATACAACAGAATATTACTCAGCCATAAACAAAAATAAAATATTGCCATTTGTGACAACATGGGTGCACTTAGAGGGTATTACGTTAAGTGAGATAAGTTGAACAAAGACAAATGCCATGTGAATTTACTTATATGTGGAATCTAAAAAGCAAAACAAACAAAATGAAACAGAATCATTTTGGGTGAAAGGTGAAGGGATAAAGAAGTACAAATTAGTAGTTACAAAACAGCCACAGGGATTTAGGGTATAGCATAGAAAAACCAAAAAAATAAAATAAAAAATAAAACAGAATCAAACTTATAGATACAGAAAACAAATTGATGGTGCCAGAGGTGAAGGAGTCAGTGAGATGGACAGAAAAGGAAAGGGACTAAGGAGTACAAACTTCCAGTTATAAAATAAGTCAGGGGATGTAATATGCAGCAGAAAGTCATAATAACTATATACAGATGGTTACTAGACTAATTGTGGTCATCGCTTCAAAAGCTATACAAATTTCGAATCACTATCTTGTGCACCTAAAATTAATTTAGTATTTAATGTCAACTATAATTTAAAATAAAGTAAATATTTTTTAAAAGATGCTTAAAACATCATTCATCATCAGGGACATGAAAATCCATTCACAATGGGATATCGCTTCACACCTAAATGGTTATTGGCCTAATTTTAACACTTAGTTTTATGATTCAAAAAACAGTTAACTTAGCTTTCAAAAAACAGTTAGCTTAGATTTCAAAAAGTAACTTTTTTATTTGCATTGTATAACATCCTGATTAGTCAACATTCCAATTGTGAAATAGTTTCAGCTAAAAAAGCAATTGGCTTAGCTTGGAAACATTAACAATCTTTAAAAACTTCATTTTTCCTTAGGTTTAACCCTGATTTTTAGAGAATCCAATATCTTATCCTCCAAAATAGAAAACAAAATTCATGGAGAAGGGAGAAGCAAAGAAGAAAAATCATGAAATTTATGTTTTCCAAAATGCAGAAGATAAAAGTTTAATAAAAGGTATCCTTTCTGCTGGACCAAAGTACAAACACACATTTATTACATTTTTCCTCTTTCTAGTTAAATTTGCTATAAATTAAAAATGCTAAAGGACTTGCTGGTGGATAAGTTCAGCCTCTTACCCTCACCCCTAAGCCCCCGTATCCATTTGTAAATTACAAAGGATCTATACACCAAGTTGCCAGGGACCTGGGGGAAACAGGAGGACTAACAATATAAACACAAAGAACATTTTTTTCTCTTATCCTCTTATAATCTAATTCACTGTTCATTTCTCCTGCCCCAGAAATGCTTAAGTAACAGAAACAGTAATAAAATAACTGATTTAACATTGAAGTACTTACCCTCCCTGAAAACATATCTCCTACAGAGATTGACTATGAAGTGCTAATACAATTCTCATGATGTTTCACTGGAATAAAAACTCCCCTCCCCACTTTTTGTCTTTTCAAACTTCATAAATTTTACATTACCAGATCTTTTCTTCTCCACACCATCTCTGAAGGTAAAGTCTGTCTGTAACATTTTAAGTGAAACCTCTTTAGCCGTCATCTTTCTGCTTAGAGGAGCAGCACTCTGTGGTCTGTTCACAAACCTCTAGGAGGAACTCTATTCTATTTGCAAAACGATAACAGGCAGGAACACGAAAATGAAAGTTTGTGTTTGAAATTTGAACTTTTTTTTAACTTATTCTAACTCACAGCCAGCTTGATGATATGCTTGAATTATCAAAATGAGATTCTATAAGGAAGCAAAATACAACAGCCTAAAATGTCTTTTTGGCATAAGTATTATTGTAGGCTGATTATTTTTTTTTTAATTCAGGAAGTTTTTCTTTGTCATTCCTTTAACTGCCTAAAAGAATAAACAGCCTGTAGCAGGAAAAGAACCATTGCCAAAGATAACTACAGAGTATAAACGAACTATAGTGAACTGGGTGAACTAGCAAGGCATATTCATCTTATGAGATGAGGAGACAGTATCCAGCATTCCCATCCAGATGAAATAGTGATTTTTTTTTTAATTCAGGAAGTTTTTCTTTGTCATTCCTTTAACTGCCTAAAAGAATTTAGATAAACAGCCTGTAGCAGGAAAAGAACCATTGCCAAAGATAACTACAGAGTATAAACGAACTATAGTGAACTGGGTGAACTAGCAAGGCATATTCATCTTATGAGATGAGGAGACAGTATCCAGCATTCCCATCCAGATGGAAATAGTGCCTCTTCAGACCAGCCAGACTAGAAAAATCTCATTTAAGGAGCATTTCAAAAATAGTCAGAAATATCTTGCTTAAGTAGTGAGAAATAGTTAACCATGGACTTAATGGTGACCTGGATTCCTTTAACAAATTGTAAGATTAAACAAATATACATATATTTGTCTCTTCTTTCAGTTGCTGACTCATAGCTCCTAAGACCCTGGTAATTTCCAAAGTGATAAGAACACTAAGAGCATCTATTGTCTTCATATTTAGCTTTGACATTGACCCTGGCACAGGGCTCCTAAAACCCTTATAAATTCCTAAGTGATAAGAGCACCAGGAGCATCTTTTGTTCTATTGAGTTGACTCTGGTGAGCTCCTGGATAGGGGCAAGTCACCAAAAATACCAAGCCATGATTAGGAGCTCAGAATTTTCTGCCCCAAACCCCACCCTCCAAAGAAGGGAGAGGGGCTAGAAATGGGGTTAATAATTGATCATGCCTACATGAAAAAGCCTTCATAAAATCCCAATAGTATGGGGTTTGGAGAGCTTCTAGGTTGGTGAACACATCCACACCAGGAGAGTGGTTCGCCCCAACTTCATGATTTACAGAAGCTCTTGTGGTTGGGACCCTTCTAGACCTTACTTTGTGTATCTCTTCCTCTGGCTGTTTACCTGTGTCCTTTACTACATTCTTTAATATACTGGTAAATGTAAGTAAGTGTTTCTCAGAGTTCTGTGAGCTGTGCTAGCATATTAATTGAAACTGGGGAAACGGTCATGGGAACCTTTGATTTATAGTCAAATCAGACAGAAATTGTGAGTAATCTTGGGACCTACTAATTGTGATAGGCATCTGAATTGGAGAGTAGTCTTGTGGTATTGAGCCCATAACCTGTGGGATCTGACACTATCTTCAGGTAGAAAGTGTTAGAATTGAGTTAAATTGTAGGATACCCAGCTGGTGTCACAGACAACTGCTTGTTGTGGGGTAAAAAAATTCCACACATTTGGTGACGAGAGAGTCAGAAGAGTTCTCTGTGAGTAGTAAAGGAGACACACAGGTGGCATCTTCAGACATGCCAAGGAAGTTGTAAAATACTCTAGCACTACCCTTTTGACACAAATGTTTGCCAAATCACTAAACATTCTAGATGGCTTACAAGCCACACTTATACATCTCGGGGTATTGAAGCTGATCTCCGTATTAAGCTGCCCAATACCACAAACTATATCTGGGTACACCTAAAATCTGGACCTACTTGGCAGGGTGACAGAACAAGCTCTATAATTGCCAAAAACCAGACTATAGAACTTCTATACTGGCTATTTCACAATCTGTTCTGCTCTCACAGATTGAAAAATGGCATGTGGAAACTGGAAATGTAGGCATACTGGCATAGGTCATGAAATGCTTCAGATACTAGGAATTATAGGTTCCACTTTTTATTTTTCCAGCAACAATTACTTATTTATTAATTTTTTTTAATTTGTTTTTTAAATTTTTTTTAATGGTAACATTGGTTAACCAAATCCATGAAGTTTCAGGTGTACAATTTAACAGTAAAGCATATATATACTGCGTTGTATGTTCACCTCCCATAGTTAGATTTCTTTCTGTCACCACATATTTGACCCCTTTACCCCGCCTACCTCACCCCTCCCCCATTCCCGCTACAGTCTGGTAACCAGTAGTCTATAGTCCATGTCTATGAGTCTCTGTTTGTTTGTCCTGTTCATTTGTTGCTTTTAGGTTTATAGCCAACATATAAGTTATATCATGTGGTTTTCAACTTTTTCTGTCTGGCTTATTTCACTTAGCATGATTATTTCAAGGTCTATCCATGTTGTTGCAAATGGCAGTATTTCAACTCTTCTTATGACTGAGTAATATTCCATTGTATATATGTACCACAGCTTCTTTATTCAATCATCTAACATAGGACACTTCAGTTGCTTTTATGTCCTGGCCACTGTGAATAATGCTGCTATGAACATTGGTGTGCAAATATCTTTTTAAATATGGGTTTTCAAGTCTTTGGGGTAAGT